GATCCTAGAACTCCTCCTAGAATTGAAAAAGATATAGAATTACCTGTAACTCCTCCATTAACTAGCCCCACGAGTGAGACAATAGAGGAATCTATATATCCAGTAACACCTCCTTTATCAAGTCCAATATCAGATAACGAGACACGCCAAATAATACCAAATACTACGATTAATCAAGAACAAACACCTCCTAAGAAAGACCCAGAGATAATAAACAAACCCGATCTCATAAAATCTTCAACACCTCCAAGAGTCGAATCTCAAACAAACCAAACGGAAAATAAAATACAAACAATAACTAGCCCACCTCCCAGAGAGTCATCATCTCTGAGAATAGAAGATGGATCAAAACCTGTAATAAATTCAACTTTAACTCCATCTCCTCCTCGTCCCCCAAAGATAGATCCTGTTAATCCAAATCAAACTTACAAAACAATTTCATCTTCAAAACCAGAGATCTTAAGGGCACAACCTGAGCCTCAAAAGCCAATAACACCTCCAAGAGTTAACCAAGAAAAAGAAAAATCATATACAATAACACCAGTAATTCCTTCAATAGAAAACCAGGAAATAGAAAAACCATTAATTAAAAAACCAGTAAGCACTCAAATAGCCGATCATGAATCAGAAAAACCATTAGTTACCAAAGCTGTAACACCTCCAAGGGTCCATAAAGAACTAGAAAAACCATTAGTTACAAAACCTGTAACACCTCCAAGACTCCATAAAGAACTAGAAAAACCTTTGCCTACAAAATCAATAACACCTCCAAGAACATATTTAACACATCCTATACCTGAACCACAAACTTTACCCCCTCGAACACATAAACGTCCGCAAAGTCCCTTAAAAAATCAAACTCCTCCAGCAAAACAACCTTCAAATCAAACAAATGCAAATATTTCGCAATCCACTCAAACATCACCTCCATCATCCCCTAGTGTTTTAGATGCTATGGGATTAAAATCAGACAAAAATATTTCAAGAGGAGATAAACTGTTTGAAGTATTATTCGGAAAGGAAAATAAAACACCGTATGATATTACCATTTTAAAACAAATTATTGATTCAATTAATTTATCTTATCTCACAGATTTTAAACGATTTAAACTTGTATTTTCTCATAGGAGTATCAAATATCTGTCATTTTCACCGCAATTAGGATATGTTTTAGGATTTGCAAATCCTCATCTAGTACAAAATAATGAAATTGCCAAGTATGGGTGTGATTTAAGAGGAGGGTTTTCTAGCTTTGCAATCTATGCAAAGGGACTTACTGAAAATATGATTGTTGGAAATTCTCTTAGCTCTTTGCTCAGAATAGTGTCAGTCACAGGAGCAGTACCTGGGGAGTATCACGAAAAGATTTATGATTCTCCCATCTATGTTAGAGTGCTCCCCCGAGAAGTAAATGAAATTGAAGTTGAACTAAGGACGATGGATAATGGTAGACTTGTACCGTTTGCTTATGGTACAGTCAGTATTGTTTTGGTCTTTAAGAAAGTGATAAATTTCTAAGACTATATAAACCCTCGTTTTATTTTGTAATTATTTTTATTATTGATAAAAATGGTTCATGTTCAATTTGATACAAATTTAGTAGGGTACAATTTTGTTGTAGATCAATGTGGGAGTGGTACGGAAAATTATTATTTTAAAGGAGCATCGCCATATCAGCGTGGATATGGGCAAAGAGGAGCAGGAGTTGGAGATATTATGAGAGGGTTGTGGAGATTTTTTCTCCCGATTATCCGAAGAGTAGGTAGTACAGTGTCTGCTGAGGCACTTAATACAGGACAGCGCGTACTCGAAAGAGTCAATGAAGGTCAGCCTATAAAAGAGGCATTAGTCAGTGAAGGAAAAAGAGGAATTGATACAGTCCTTGAAAAGGGAGGACTACCAAAACAATTTGGGACTGGAAGAAAAAGTATAAAAAGGAATAAATTTCCTTCCCATCAAACAGTTATTGGCCAAAAGAAAAAACGTGTAGACGCTTTTGGCTTTTATTAAGAATGTCTTTTAAAAAGATTGATAGAGATAGTCTTGACACAATTACAAACGCTGTAGAAATCTTTCAAGTTCCTCCTACCAATGTTACCATTTCATCCTCAAAAACATTTGAAATCCTTCCTAGTAATCCTTTAACTGACACACCTTTTCATTTTAAAATTCACTCAAGTGAAAACTTTATTGATTTGTCTAAATGTTATCTTTTTACCGAATTTCGAATCCGCAAAGAAAATGCTAATGGTCAAAATGTAAATATTACACTTGACGAAAATGTTGCCCCCATACAAATGATTGGAAACACATTTATTAATAATATGAGAATAAGTATAAATGGGCGCGAAATATTCAATTCAAACTCATTATATGCCTATAAGACTTACTTTTCCCATGAACTTTCCTACTCTTTAGGAGCAAAAAGTTCTCATTTAAATGCGGCAGGGTATTATTACGATTCAGGTGTATCACAAGAGGCCGGAGCAAGTTTTAATTCAAGAAGAAATTTGTTTGTTAATAGCCGAACAGCTCAGTTTATTTCAAAACTTGATGCCGATCTTTTCAACCAGCCTCAATATTTAGTAAACCATTGCGAGGTTGATATTGAAATATTGCCCAATGATACAAAATTTCTCCTTATTGCTCCTCTCCCTGTTGGAGCTCAACCTACTCGCTATATTTTCGAAGTGGTTAGTTGTAAGTTATTTGTAAAGAAGTTGGACCTAATGGATGGTCTTGCTCTTGATATTGCCAGAAGACTTGATTTAAAACCTGCCCGTTATGCTATTCGTAAGACAATGATGAAACCATTATTTATCAGTCAAGGAAGATATGAGTTTCATGCCAATCTATTCATGGATCAAATACCACGACGAATTACTTTAGGATTAGTCGCCAACTCCGATTATGTAGGGACACAAGAACGAAGCCCTTTCAATTTTCAACCTTTTAGAGTTAGGGAGATTAGTATTATAGCTAATGGACGCTCATTTCCCCAATCTCCATATGATTTTGACTATGGTTCAAATCGATATGCGAGAGCATTTCATGACATGAACGAAGCTATAGGCTTTTCTGGTACACCAGAGAACAATGGGATAACATACCAACAATTTGGAAGAACCCATTGCATTTATGTCTTCAATCTTACAAATAGTGGAGAAGATAATGGTGGGACATTTGATCTAATAAAAAATGGGTCAACAGCTGTAAATATTAAATTTAGTCAACCTATTCCAGAGGGAGGAGTCATGCTCATAGTTATGGGAGAAGCAGATGCGCTAATAATGTTGGATAAAAATCGATCAATAACGAGCGATACCACTATATAAACCTCAAAAATTGTTCATTTTCTATTCATTTTAAATAAAAATGTTTTTTAAAATTCTTGCGAAAGTTTTATTCTTAATTCGAGTTTTTACTCCTTTAGTTAATACTCTTAGTACAGATGGGACTGTGGATGTCCAAAATCTTCCCGAGTACCGAGAGCATTTACAAAGAATGGGATATCCACCAAAGAAGAACAAAACTGTTCCAAGTATGCCTACTCCTATCATTTCTGCTCCTCAACCTTTTGGTAGTCTTCCTCCAATTCAATTATGTAAGGAGACTCCTGGAGATATTTATGGGCACATATTTTGCTGGGGGATGATTTGTTTGTATGCACTACTCATTATAAGCCTAATAATTTATCAACTTCGATCAATACTTTGGGTTAAATTAAACATTTTGCAAAACAATGTACAGCAGCCAGATAACTCAACTTTTGAGAGCAAACCAAAAGACGAGCAAAATCTTCGAGGGGTGCTTCCCTTGTGACTTGCTCCCTTCCCCTAATACTTTAAGAAGACCTACAACTCTTATTGTGAATTTGGATTCTCATGAGATGGGAGGGTCACATTGGATAACACTTTATTTGGAAAAAGATCAAATATTTTATTTCGATAGTCTTGCACTCCCTATAAGTTCTTGTATTGTTAAATCATTTTTAAAAAATATTAAAAATGTAAAAAGAAATGTAAACCTATACCAATCACCCTTATCAAAAACTTGTGCTCACCACTGTATTTCCCTAATATATTTTTTATCCCAAGGCTACTCCTTACCCAAATATTTGAATTTATTAGAGTCAATTAGTAATACAGATTTATTTGTAACTAAAATTGTAAACAATATGATAAATAATTAATTATTATGAATTTCTAGATAACGTTTTGTAATTTTAAAACAATCAGGACAAAGATATAATTCGTACTTGAAATTATGTTCGTATTTGGGTACTATAATTTCGCACTGCAAACGACTCAAAACAAATTTTAGACAATCATGGCACCACTTTCCAGCTCTGAAGTAGTTTATGAGTACACTCAGTCGTGCTCCCATGTCCAGTCGATCACCATCTTTGATAGCCTGACTTAAGGCATTCATATATTTCCTCTTGTTAAATTGTCTATATTCGCACGATCCGTGCATAAACTTAATAAATTCTTCTTCTGGAGATGAGCTCATTTTCTGAAGATTTTTTTAAATGATTAATGAAAATGGGCGGAAATCAAAAATAACTTTTTGCACAAATTTGACCTACATATCAAAATGTAAACTTTCAAAATATCAAAAAACGGGAGTATATAAGAAAAGAAATTCTTGGAAAAAATTCATTCTCTTCAAAAAAATGAATTCTCATTCCTCTTCCAATAAAGTCATTGACGAATGCACGCGAATTTTGGGGTGCTCTGCAAAATCCTTAAGAGACCACCTCAACCATCCTGATAACCGTGTGCTTATCTTTAAGGAAATACTCGGTCGAAAAGTCCAAACGACCTATGAAGATCAAAATGGCTTTAAGAAAACTTTTCTTATTGATGGCCTAACTAGACATGGAGGGAATTCTCTCGTCGCTTATGGGAGATTACCTTTTCCATACAATGTGAGCGTTGCTGCTCACTACTATGCTCGACACCGGATTCGTTTACGTTATCCCTACTTGCAATGTGTCGTTGAGCGATTCCCATTTGGAGGAGAGGACCGATATTACCCAATGGAGTTGCTCGAGTTTGTTCCAGAACAAGAGGATCGAATAGCAGGCAAATGGATGAATCAGCTTTCCAATGATTTATCAAACAAACTAAAAATATCTGAAGAACCAAAGAGTCCAGTGACTATTTTGAAGAAAGATCAAGACAATAATTTTGAACTTTGGTAATAATCTGTAATCAATTTATTTTTGAATAAAAATTTTTAAAAACATTTAAAATTTGTATCAAAAACACAAGCGACTCCTAAAAATACGCGCGCATGCCAAAGACACGCACGCATACCTAAGATTCATAAATAAGAATAAAAAATAAAAATTGCATATTCTTTATCAATATATGCTCTTTTACCCCTAATATCAACTATTTCATTCTGTAAACTTTGCTTTTCTCAATTAATTTTTTCTAAATTATGCACTTTTCTCTCTAAAATCTTCTATTTAAAACTCAAAACTATTATAATTAGTTTTCTCAAGCTCCTAAAAGTGCACTTTTCCCCCTAAAATCTTCTAGTTTTGACATAAAAAAATGCACAGCTTTTTATAAAAAATTTATTCAAGTGAAACCTAAAACAATAAAAATTGTAATAATAAATTTGAGAAAAAAATGTGAGGGAGGAGGAGACCTTTTTGGAGTTTTTTCAATAAGGTTTTCCTAACGCAAATTCTTCTTATCTACAATCATAACATAAACTGAAAAGGGTTTCCCCCAAAGAGTTACTCCTGAACTTTTTTTACTCTGTGATACTTTATAGAACTGGTTTAACATAGTATTAAATGTGTTTTCAGTTATAGGCCGAAGTGGTATCCAGATATCCGTATGGAGCAACTCACTAGTTAGAGTACATCCCAGCATTTCTGGTTTGACTCCTTTAGCCCGCGCATTTGATACGGCATCATCGAAGCAATGTTGAAAAATACCACCAAGAAGAGTTTCCGGGTCGGCTGGAATATTCTTTATCAAATATTTTGAATAGCTTTTGACAATCTTAAATTTTTCAATGTATTGAATATTATCCTCAAGTTTTTCAACATATTCTTCTGGAGCTCCTTCTCCTGTTTGATCTCTAGAAAGGAGGTTATCAATAGAAAACGATCGCACGCCTCTAGTAGGAAGATTAGACATTATTCAATAAAGCAAAAAAAAAACAATAAAAATTTAAAAAAGTAAATAAATATGTTAGAAAAAAATCTCCAACTTTTTATTCTCGGAGTTTTCACTGGATTACAACAAGTATCAAAACTGATACGCCTTAAAAAACGCACATACACAAAACACGCGCACACCCCCAAAACACGCGCACATACCTAAAATGCGTGGATTTTAAAAAAATTAAAATTTGCACTTTCTTTTGTCTAAATATGCACTTTTACCCCCAAAATTAACTACTTCAAACTCCAAACTATGCTTTTTACAACTTGTAATGCTTAATTATGCACTTTTCTCCCTAAAATCAACAACTTCTAAAGGTTAATTATGCACATTGGTTTTTCAAACTCTTAAATATGCACTTTTCTCCCTAAAATCTACCACTTTAAAACATTAATATTGCACATGATTTTTATAAAAAACGATAAAAATTATTGCAAATAATGAATACAAACACTGTTTAGCTAATTACAAAGAACAATTTGATTATTCGATGAGGTAATAGATCACTTGTTGTATGGTTCTATAAGATTGTAACAAGATAAATGTGTTTTGCTAATTTAGAAAATACTCTTTCACCACTGCTTACAAATTGCCCTTCAACACCACAACTCTACCGATATGTATGTCCTCATCCTTTTAATTTTGCCAGACCCCTCTACTCCACGATGGTGATTGTTCACCCGCAAAGGAAAGGAGAGGATAAAAGGAGAAGAGAAGATGATACGAGAGGAGATGAGAGAGTAGAAGAGAGTAGGAAGAAAATAGAGATTAAACGAGTAGGAGAAAAAGAACGAGGAGAGGAGTAGGATATGGAGAGGAGGAAGGAAATAGTATCATAGAGGAAGAACCGAGAGGAGAAGATGAGATCAGAGCAGATGGGAGGAGTAGGAGGGAGGAGGAGGAGGAAAAAATAGAGAAGATAAGATTGGGAGGAGAAAGAAGGAGAATGAGGAGAGAAGGAGTAGTATAAGAGAGGAGAAGATGAGAGGAGTAGGATAGAGGAGGAAAGGGCAAGTCAAGATCAGAGAAGATATGAGGAATAGGAGGGAGGAGGAGGAGGAAGAAGAAGAAAATAGCGGAGAAGATAAAATGGGGAGGAGAAAGAATGAGGAGAGGAGGAGTAGTATCAGAGAGGGGGATGAGAGGGGTAGGATATGGAGAGGAAAAGCTGGTTATCACCGACCTATCAAAGTGATTTGACTTCAAGTCAAAACAAATGAAAAGGATTTGTCTTAAAAGTCAAAAAGTCGGCCACGACGACGATGATGATTCACAAATTACCCCTTAAACCACTTTCTCTACCCTCTCATCACTATTTGATTACAAGACTATTTTATCCATTTCAGTTATTGCCACCCTAGACGATGATGTCCACATTCAAAAGGGGTTCTCTTCCTTTTAGTTTTCCCCTCATAATTAAATATTTCCTATTGTCTGACCCATTCTCCCCAAATATTGCCATTCACTTTTCTTTTATCGTATCTCTCCGCAAGAATTTTCCTCTCCATTTTCCACACAAATAAATGCACATACTCTATCGTTTTATCTGACCTCTTCATCACAAATCTTGGCTTCCCTTCCCACTCCACCCCAAGACTCTGCCAAGTTGTCCACTCCCTTTAGATTTTTGCCGCGCGATCCCCAACATGCCCTCTTCCTTTTGGTTTTACCAGACCCCCACCAACCCACGACGTTTTTTTCCAGAGAAGAGAAAAGGGAGAGAGAAGAGGTAGGGAAGGAGAGGGAGGAGGAGTAGGACGCCCGCGACATCAATTTTTCCCTCTCCTCCTACAGGTACAGGTTGGTCAGCTTTTACCGCACTAACTCGCGCTAAAGGTTTGAGCTTTGACCAGCCAGCCGCTCAAAAGGATTTGATCTTAGGTCAAAACAAGTCAAAAGGATTTGATCTTAGGTCAAAACAAGTCAAAAGGATTTGACTTTCTTATTGCCACCCACGACAGTGATTTATACAATTATCCTCCCTCACATCCACTTTCAAAAGGTTTCTCATCCTTTAGGTTTTCCGCTCTAATAGGTCAACATACTCTCTCCTTTTGTCTGACCACCCCCCAAATATTTGCATTCTCTTTTCCTTTCCCCTCCTCCCCCACGACGCTGCCGAAATGTCCACTCCCTTTAGGTTTATGTGACCTCAAATCCCCACGACGCTGCCGATATCCTCTCTCCCTTTAGGTTTTTTGCCGCACTTTTCCCGACATACCCTCTTCCTTTTGGTTTTACCAGACCCCTCCACCCCCACGACAGTGAGATCAAAAGGATTAGGTTAGTGACAGCCACGACACCGGCGTACCTATGACTACTGTTGGTCATATTAAAAATCAATTTATTACCAGATTCTGACGAGTTCGACGTGTTTGACGAGGCAAATCAATCGCTTGAAGTAAATCAATTACGGCTTGCGAAAGACGCTGTGTCTAGAAATTTACTTTTAATTTTTATTTTCCATGGGGACTGGCTGTTGTATCTGTACATTTTTGTATATTCGGGTTTTGGTAAATCTTTTTAACCCAAAATTTTTAGAGAACTTTTCTCTATAAGATTCTCTCATATTCTGCCTCTAAACATCTTTTAAGTTTTCTCTATATTTATTTCACAGTATCAAACTTTCTATACATATAATGAATCAAACCAAGCCCCAATCACTAATCTCGCTCATAGAATATTTAAAAAATTTCAAAAGTGAATTGGTACGAAACTGTAATACCGGCAATACCCATGGGTATTATCGAAAATTACCGCGGTAATACCGTAACATGTCCAACACTACAAATAACTCACCTGTCGAAACGTAGTATATCTTTCAATGTCATTAATAAATTGTTGAAGCTCGTGCAACTTAAAAGATTTTTTATAGTTAAGGTAATAAATATTTTTCAAGATAAGTTATTTAATAAAATGTAATAAAAATGTAAGTTCCAAACTTGGAATTGGATCGGGAACTTGGAGTAATTTACTTGTAGAGATGAAGCCAAAATTGGGTAGAATGGACTTCCATTAAGATCAAATTTAAATAGAAAATTTGAATTCCAATTATTTGGATGCAGTCTTATAATAGTTCGATTATATTTTTTCGCCCCGCAAAATGGGAAAAATTTTTTTAACCAAATATTAGACATTTTCCAATTATTTCAGGGTGTCTTATTTGATTTTGTGATATATGTGTTTAGATGGATAATGATTGGAGGATTATCGGGGATACAACGTGTATATAAGCTGAAACAAAAATTTTAAGAATTTTCGAAGACCAAGGAGCTAGTTTCCACACATTTTAGCGCCGCAGGCGAAAATTTTGAGAATTATGAAAATAACGAAAAACAACGACAAACGCAGCGCAAGGACAAAATCTAACGCAAAACGTATTAGCGCTTTTAATTGCAATAAAAACTCTATTAAAATGGCATGCCATTCGATTGTTCAATCATTGTACAAGATGGGTCTTAAAATGGAGTTATCATTCAGAGATTTTACCGTATTCAATTTTTCTGATATTTTAGAGAAATTTTTAATTATTTATTAATAAATTTACTGTAAATGGGTTTATTCCTGGAACCGGTACATATTCATCTTGAATTTGTTTTGCTCGATCTAACTAAAAATTTGTCAGATATTTTTTAATATTAACAACAAAATAGGGTGAATTAAATTTTCATTCAAAAATATAACTCTCAATAAGTCGGCAAATCCAAAAATAAATATCGGGATCATGATATCTGAACGGCCTGCATACTTCCAAAAAATTTTACTGATTCATTTTATTAATAATAAATTCTAACCTTTGTTTGCAACAAAATAATATCATTTTCTTGTAAAGCCTGAATATGTCCGTCCCTTAAAGCATGTATTTCTTGTTGTAATGCTTCGTTGGTTCCTACCTATAATTTTTCATGGAACGAATTAACGTGAAAAAAAATATTTATTTGAATTTTTCAATCAGATTTTGAATTTTTTACCAAAAATATATCCATAAAATTTTAATGATATTTTTCATTTTTGACAT